GCCATGATATGAATAGTTCTTGCTATAAACAGAGTTACTATAAACAGAAGAAAACATCCATCATGCGGATAATGACAAAATAAAGTTTTCCATTGACAACAAAGATTGTGAAATAGACATTTCTCTGTTCTACATATTTGTTTTCAAATTTGTATTCGATGTTATTTCTAGGGCCAACGAATCCTTATATTGTCATTATAATGTTCTGCGATCCAACTTTGACCTTTACCTCCATGCTATTTATAACAAAGACTTGAGCTCAAGAGTCACAAAGTATAGATTGCAAAATAACCAAAGAGAGCATTACATTGCTATTTTGCGAAAAATATCCCCGAAAAACTAATAAAACTAATATGCTGGAGGGCATTTCTCTTATTCGTGTAAACAAGCACGCACACAAAATACAAGGATCATGATAGATAGATAGATAGATAGATAGATAGATAGATAGATAGATAGATAGATAGATAGATATGAACATAAGGTGATATATATTAAGAGATTATTATAATAAAATAGATAGATATGAAGAGAATGTAATAGATATGAATAGATATGAAGAGAATGTGATGCATAGATAGATAGATAGATAGATAGATAGATAGATATGACGAGAATGATATACACACACACACATATATATATATATATATATGTGTGTGTGTGTAGATAGATAGATAGATAGATAGATAGATAGATAGATAGATAGATAGATAGATATTGGGACAGATAGATATCAAAAGATTATGATAGATAAATAGATAAAGATGAAAAGAACGTGACAGAAAGATAGATAGGTATGAAGAGAATGATATATATATATATATATATATATATATATATACATAGAGAGAGAGAGGGAGAGAGAGATAAATAGATATGAAGATAATGTGATAGATATTAAGAAATTATTATAGATAGATATGAAGAGAATGAGATAGATAGATAGATAGATAGATAGATAGATAGATGTTGACATAACACATTAATTTAAACAAAAATTACGAATACTGGAAAGAGCGAGAATACCTACTGCACTTCAGAAACCTATTCACCTGTAAAATTACTTTAAGAGAAATTTATAAGTTTTAGCTGACAATAGCACGAGCTGCTTGGTCAGTGAATGTCGAATGTTTCCTCATAAGGAAAGTACTGATATTACCATTATCATTACCATGCACTGGTGCGTTGACTTGTATTGGTACGTAAATACGATCTGAAACATGCGTAAACACACAAATGCACCCATAAACATACCCACGACTGCTACTTCCGCTTAAGCAAAACTGTGCAGAATATAACAATGATTATAAGTAGTTCAGATGAGTGTAATGGTTAACGAGCCAATCTAATTAATTATTTGTGTTGAGTAATGACTTCTATCCTCCCTGTGTGAATTAAACATGTAACTTTGTGATAAAAAAGAAATAGTAAATAATAATCGCTAAATGGTCGACGAGATTGTCTTGATGACCATTACTTCTGACTACTGAGTTCGAGTCTCACTATAATGTAATCGATTCTGATCTGGCATCTCGACATCAGTTACTTTCTCATAGATAGATAGATAGATAGATAGATGGATAAAAAGATATGAAGAGAATGTTAAATAGATAGATAGATAGATAGATAGATAGATAGATAGATAGATAGATATGAAGAGAATGTAATAGATAGATACAGACAGATAGATATGAAGAGAATGATAGATAGATAGATAGATAGATATGAAGTTATGCTGAGTGTAATGGTTAACGAGTTAATCTAATTAATTATTTGTGTTGAGTAATGGCTTCTATCCTCCCTGTGTGAATTAAACATGTAACTTTGGGATAAAAATGAAATAGTAAATAATAACCGCTAAATGATCAACGAGCAAGTCTTAATGGCCATTACTTCTGGCTCGAGCTTCACTATAATGTACTCGATTCTGATCTGGCATCTCGACATCAGTTACTTTCTCATCAACACGATGTGGCTTCCCTCCGGCTTTTATATAACTATTTTTCTTGGCAGTTGTTCTGAAGAGGTATCTTCATCTTCATACCGTGACTCGACTGCATGAATTGAAGCGTGCTACTTGATTGGCAATTAGGTCTCACCGTTTGACGGCCGATGTTTCTTTTCTCGCCTGTGAAACTCCCTTCCGATTCCTTGCTTCTTTGTCGCCTACAAACTTCTATTGTCCTTTGTCCTCGCTTCTTCTCACCAAAGTCTTTTCATCCACTTTCATTTCCAGTATCCCCTTGCTCTTCTCTCGATGACCAAATTTAGCACCTGCTCCATTTCATACGAAGCTTTTCAAACACGATTTTCAGGCATTTTAAAAGCGCGGCTTGCAGACAGATATTGTATCAATTATTCATCTCTGAAGCTCATTTCAAATTACAATTAGTATTTTTCTTTCACTGTCTCTCATTTCTTTCTTCATCGAATTCCAGTCGCAGCTTCCTTCCCACATCTTTCGACATTTTTATCGATATTTATTAACCTAGTTTCGCGCAGGTATGGTTAGATGCTTAATATCATTGTTAGCGGCTCGGAACAAGTAGGGGGTGAGCCGAGTTCGAACTGTGGTCGAATTCGTTTAATCTTGCTCAAATACCCTTGAGATGAAATGAATCCAGCACTTCTCCAACCAGTTGTAGATGAAATACCGTGGTTGGCAAACCAATCAAGAAGGAGAACTTTGAAGTCCAAACCATGTTTTCCTGTTGAAGCACATACGATAAAACTGTGCAAAGGATTAGAGAATTCATGATTTTATTATGGCGCCTGCGATGGATCAGTTAGGAAGATAAAAAAAAACCCAAAGTCTAGGTACTCATAATGGAATTGAATTCACTATTGTAATAATGAACTCTGAGACGACTGTGTTTTATTAACTACCACCATTAAATATCTAAATCCGAAATTCCGTAGCTAATTTGCAATTGGATAAAAATCAATTCTTTACTCAAGAAGATTTGAAAAGAATTTGCCGTGTTAAAATGAAAAAAACGGAATTCTTGTTCGTTTATTACGGCTTATCAACCCTTTGCAGGTTATTTAAAGCCAAAAATATATATTTAGATTGTAAGAATTATTTTAAGATAATAAACCTTTTAGTGATACAAGTCTTGCTAATTTACCTATATTTGGCCGAGAAGGTTACATTCATAATTTTCCGAAAGGTATATGCACGTAGGAGGAACGATGGAGTAAGGAAGCACGGTGGGGTAATGGATAGCGGCTCGGATTGAGGAATCGGAGAGTCGAGTTCGAATTCCAGTTGGATACATTACATTCACTTACGTGCTAATACCCTTTTGAAAAGTATGAATTCTCTTCTTCTCCCCACTCCGGCTATGGGTAAGTAGCAGGACAGATCGGATTATATAGCTTTGGATGGCAGTAAGAAATGGTAACATACTGCGAGAAAAATGTGTCGCCTAAGTGTGTATCACGCATGGCACATAACTGGCTGGTTAACTACTGTGGGGGAAAAATCTGCCTCGTCAGTCATGTAACGAAAGATACATGATCGCCTAAGCGTGTATCACGCATGGCACATAACTGGCTGGTTAACTACTGCGGGGGAAAAATCTGCCTCGTCAGTCATGTAACGAAAGATACATGATCGCCTAAGCGTGTATCACGCCTGGCACATAACTGGCTGGTTAACTACTGCGGGGGAAAAATCTGCCTCGTCAGTCATGTAACGAAAGATACATGATCGCCTAAGCGTGTATCACGCATGGCACATAACTGGCTGGTTAACTACTGTGGGGGAAAAATCTGCCTCGTCAGTCATGTAACGAAAGATACATGATCGCCTAAGCGTGTATCACGCATGGCACGTAACTAACTGATTTGCGTGTAACTGAATATAACGAACCCAACTTTCAACTGGAATTGGAACTTTTTTCTGATCAACAATTCCTAGGTTTTATTCATTGTATCTCCCCTGCATCTAAACTTACAGAAATGAGTATTCTCAAGCGGTTACCCATTTAGGTACTGACCAGGCTCGACGTTGCTTAACTTCAGTATTTCAATGTGATATGGCCGTAAGTCTCGATATTATGATTAGATTTTTCCATAAAGGAAAAATTCGGTAATTTATTGCACCAAACTGCCGTTTGAAATTCATAAAATCTTTGTCTTAAAAGGGATTTTCAGGAAACTAGTCTCCTCGCTTTCACTGTTTCACACTTTATAGTATTGTGGGAAGTTTCCTTCCTAACTTTTTCTTTGTTCATCTTCGTGCCAAATCCCGATTGTAATAGTAAAAGATGCTTTCTAAAAACTAAGCAAAATATTAAAAAGGAAAATTTCGTTCAGACGAAGAAGACACTTGAGGCAATAGAGAAGACTTGAGGCAATAGAAATGTGATTTAACAAAAGAACACTGGGAATAAAATGAACAGAAAACATGTAAGCAATGGAAATTTTTAAGGAAAATGGCAAGGAAAAGGTTACTTTTGATTAAGATCAGAAAGACACAATATCTATCTATCTATCTATCTATCTATCTATCTATCTATCTATCTATCTCAGTCAATTAAATATCGATCTCAGCATTTTTTTTATCTATTTTCTTTTTTTAAAAATCACTTTACCCCAAGCAATGCAATAAAGTCACTAGGACGCAAGAGGTTATTGAGTGTTGCTAATATTAAGAAAGGGCAATAAAAGAATAAGACATAAGATAACTATTGACATTGCATTTAAATCTTTGAAGATCAAAGTTGACTGGGAAGCAAGAAGCCGGAAGAGCATTACACAAGCAAGAAATGTGAGTAAAGAAACTATTAGCATAGAACTTGCGGCTATATGTAGCCATCTTAACTCTAAACAAATGAGACCTTGCCGCCAATTTCGTACTGCGCTAAAATTCATAAAGTTTAAGTACCATAGAGAAAAGCGCATCAGAACAATTACCATGAAAGTATCTATCTATCTATCTATCTATCTATCTATCTATCTATCTATCTATCTATCTATCTAAGATTTAAGATTTAGAGTAAATTACAGAGTATGAGCGAGATAGAAACAAATATAGAGAGAGGGATGGCGAGAAACAAATAGAGGGAGAGAGAGAGGGTTGGTGGAAACAAATGTAGAGAGAGGGATGATGAGAAAGAAATATAGAGAGAGGGATGGCAAATGTAGAGAGAGGGATGACGAGAAACAAATAGAGGGAGAGAGAGAGGGTTGGTGGAAACAAATGTAGAGAGAGGGATGATGAGAAACAAATATAGAGAGAGGGATGGCGAGAAACAAATAGAGGGAGAGAGAGGGTTGGTGGAAACAAATGTAGAGAGAGGGATGATGAGAAACAAATATAGAGAGGGATGGCGAGAAACAAATTGAGGGAGAGAGAGAGGGTTGGTGGAAACAAATGTAGAGAGAGGGATGATGAGAAACAAATAGAGAGGGAAGGATGGTGAGAAAACGATATGGAGCTAGGGATGGCGAGAAAATTCTTTCTTTTTGTTTTTCTACAAAGATATAAAAAGGATTAATTAGATTCAAAGCATGTGGAATATTGGGTGAATAATGTCATACTTCCACAAAACTGATTATTTTCGTACGCGGTCAGTCGCCGAATATATATCTCTATTGAAAACAGGTTTTTGTGCAGGTCTAATCTAGAGATATGAGAACATTCCAATTAAATATCATCTATCTATTTATTTATCTAACAAGATATAGGAACACAAATAGGTAGACAGATATATATGAACTGATTGTGATATATATATATATATATATATATATATATATATGATTTTAAAACCCATGCCAAATTCACTATAATTGAAAGAAATAGAAAAGTTCAAAGCAGATAACTTTAGAAAAGATTTTAGAGTTCCATGAAAATAAGTGGATACGACTTTTAAAAACGCACTATCCAGACGGGCTTAATCACAAATTTAACAATATAGATATTATTAATATATAACTCCACAAATCAGGACCTACCCACATTTCCACACAAGACAGACATGCTTACGGAGGTGTTGAGGCCTCACACCTATACACACACCCACACGAATACATACACCACACTCACTCACTAACTAATGAGCCAAATGATAGCACACACCCATAGTAATATACACGCTTACACACATCATACTCGCTCACTCCCTAAGAGCCAAATAACACACACACTTAACAGAGACACATCTCCTTTCCAGGAACCAATAAAACTGTCAAAATGGCCAAGGGAATTCTGAGCAGCATGAATCCATCCAGCTCTTATCTTAAATAACAACTCCAAAGAGACTGTTTGACCAACACAAGGACTGACCAAAATTCATGTTAAAAAAATCTTTAAAAAAAACTAATGAAAACTACAGACAAAAGTTCATTTTCTCCATCAAGACATTCTTTCTGTAGTACACTGCTACAAACAAGCAGATATTTTCTCCTGATGATGGCCATGTTGGCCGAAACTAGTCGAGGAATCTAAGTGAAATAATAATAAAAACGAAAGAATATTAATATACAACCAAGTGTGTCTGAAGATTTTAAGTCTTTAATATCTCTTATTGTTCAATATATATATATATATATATATATATATGTTTATATATATATATACAGGGTACTGAGTAAAATGTCGCCATTTCATATTTTTAATTTCGTGCATGCGCATTGTTTTTGATTTTGTCGTCTCACAGTATAATAGGGTCAATTTGGCACTGTCTGTGAGAAAAAGACCACCTTGACGAAATTCACTTTACCAGAAATTTCGAAACAGCATGCTATACTGCTTGACATTCGCACCGGAAGCTCCAATACGAACATTTCGGAGTGTTTGATTATCAATCTGGTGTCAATGCAGAGGATTCAGAAAGAGTTGGATCATATATCCCGTTACATTATGGCGTTTGGAGTGATCACTAGTAATGGAGACGTTATGCCTTCAGGGTTTCAAACACAATACGGAGGCCTACATCAAGTGCCTTGAGGTGGTACTTCTGCCATGGATCAAGCAGGTGTCATGACGCATAAGCAGGAGAACCCAGTCATGGCTGTTAAACAATATCTGCAACCACTTCACCCCTTACATATGGCCACCTAACTCCCCAAACTTGAAATGCCCTTGATTATTATATGGGGGGGATTGAGCGAGGGACAAATAAAACTCCTTTTAACACAAAAGATGAAGTGAAGACAAGGATTATGGCAGCATTCACCAACTTAAGCAATGAGACCGCCCAGAAGAGTTGCAGGAGATTCTGAAGTCGTCTGGAGGCCGTGACTGAAGCCAATGGCGCTTTATGGAATAAATTTATTCTTTAATATTTCAAGATATTTTTGTGAAATTTTGGTAAATATATCTGTTAAAATGTGATGTCAGTGCTATTTTCATTACTGCGTAATTTAGACGTCAAATTATCCATCGCACCCAGTGAACATAGAAGTCAACACTGTTTCATGCTAGTTGCAATCCTCAGGTGTGCACTTTTATATTTATACACGCTCTATCTCTGATATTGAGCACACACAAATATAGCACACACCTTAAAACTATATTTCTTCATTCATATATATATATATATATATATATATATATATATATATATATATATATATATATATATATAGAGAGAGAGAGAGAGAGAGAGAGAGAGAGAGATGAGCAGAGGTTGATAGACATGAATAGAGGTAAATATAAACAGCCTAAAATCGACATTAGCCGACAGTGAAAGGTTGCGCATGCGTGCATCCATTTCAATGTTTTACGATTATTAGTTCTACGTTCGTATCTTTCTGCGAGGTGCTAACAGCGAAATCATATTTAAAAGGCCAACCACCGAATTCCTCCGTGGCAACATCGGCTAAATTCAACCTTTAACTACTTTCCCTTGTTTCATTTCGTTTCTCTAATCCGTCAGTGCTTTTTCAGATATGACCTATATGCCCGACCACAGCCTGGCTTCCTACGTAAATCATGACTGACCTACTAGCTTAGTCAATCGCCAGGTCGGGAATGGAGGCAGGGAAGAAATAGGAGGCGCTGAACAAATGACTGAAACAGAGAGAGAGAGTGTGTGTGTGTGTGTGTGTGAGAGAGAGAGAGAGAGAGAGAGAGCCAGGAGGGAGAGAGAGAGAGAGCCAGGAGAGAGAGAGAGAGAGAAAGAAAGAAAATTAAAAGGAGAAAATTAAAGAGAAAAACTAGAGAAATGAAGTGACGTGAGAGTAAGCCGAAAGATTGTTTGAGGCAAAACAGTTATATATATATATATATATATATATATGTATGTATGTATGTATGCATGACACAGTAAATAGATGCATCTACTTTGTGGAAGAAACTCCCATGGCAATGCTTTCCTGGGCGTTTACAACGTTAACCACTTAAAGTCAAGGGTCAATTACTTTCTGTCCCAATCCTCATAATTTTTCATTCTTAGCACCCACCTCTTTCGCTTATAACCACACCTCATTCTTCATAACCATTTTAACTGTAAGCCTCTACACTGAGTGGCTATCGAGCCTTGTATTTGATGACCTACAGTCATCTTTTCTTTCAAGGGATCCTTAATAGATAAATCTGCTTGCGATCGGCCTCAAACCATCGGACATTTTTGTTTCAGTCGAAAGTAGATCTGTATACTTGCAGACAATCATTGAAAAATAATATAATGTTATAAACAGTTCCTGGTCAGAGTTGAATTACACAAGGAAACAGTTGCATTAAAATGATCAATACACACAGAAAATAAAAATGTAAAACGCAGAGCTTTAAATTAAAAAAAAAGATCATCTAATCACGCTACCTTGGTTTCAACCTTTCGGCATCCTCAGGCGATAAAGGCCAAATGATTTCCTAAGACTTTATTATTTATATACAAACGCATAACGTGAAGTGTAATAGAAGGGTAAGAGAAATTGTACTGGAGCGGGGGGTAAATAAACTGTACATACTTTCATCCTGGTTCGTAGGAATTCAAAAAATACTTTTTAGAGTGAATGCATCGTGTCATTATTTCCAATCTTTAATTCAGTAGTGATATCTGCAAATTGTGACAGGAGGAAAAGTTAACAATAATAAGATATCCAGACCCCCCAAAAATTCACTGAATGAAAGATCGTAAATAATAAATTCATTAAGTAAGCCGCCGTAGTTTTTTTTTCATTCCTTTTATTTTCTCAAGTACTTTCAATCTCATCCGAGATCATCTTCAGGAGTGAATTGCTAAGACAAAAAATTAATGTAAATGATAGTAGTGAATTTTTTTAAATCCTCACGAAACACGCTCTGTTATAATTATTTCAAATACTTGTGAACATGTTATAATTAACATAAACATTTCTATTAAAGCTATTATGTTTGTTCATGTTTTTATCTAAGGGAGGTAACTTAAATTTATATAATTTTTTTATAATTATAATTACAGCATTTTAAAAACATTGCTATTATAGGCATTGTAAAACATTGTTGCTATAGTCATAATTAACATTATTTAGTGTTGGTTGTATGTTCCTTATATAGACTTACCTTAAACAATCCTTAACAATGAACTTTCGTTTGTCGTTAATGAAACTTGAATCGATGAAAAATTTCAATTCAGATACATTATATACATGCATACACGAACACACACACACACACACATATATATATATATATATATATATATATATATATATATATATATATATGTATGTGTGTGTGTGTGTGTGTGTGTATTTGTGTTTGCTGAGTGTGTATGTGTGAGGCAATAAATATTACAACAACATACGTACATGTCGTATGTATCAAAAATCGGTAAATAAAAATAAATTTATTTCTCGAAATAAAACTTATAAAATAATGGCAAATTTTAATTAGACATGCATTATGAAACCTTCTATGACCGTCATTTTTTGCCTGGTCACATCTAAGTTGTTACACAATTTATGACTGCCAGGTTATCGTGTAAAGGTAGGAATGAAAATCTCCCTTTCTTTTTTGCTCACTCACCGTCTCTATCTCCCGCCTTTCTCTCTCTCTCTCTCTCTCTCTCTCTCTCTCTCTCTATATATATATATATATATATATATATATATATATATATATATATATATATATATATATATATATATATATGTGTGTGTGTGTGTGTGTATGAATATATGTATATTTTATTCAGTTTTACCACGTGCAAGGTAGTAAAGCCACTAAGACACAGAGGTTACAGTGTGTGGAATAATTTAGAACAGAAATATTAATAATGAGCGGGAAGAGGAGAGAATTATCAGGATGACAGTCGATAGCGATTTTCGGATTAATGTTGTCCGGAAAGCATGGAGGCGGAAGGGAGTTCCACAATCTAGATAAGAAACTGTTAGCATAAAACTTACGGCTACGCCTAGCCAGCTTAACTGTAAACTGATGAGATCTCGACGCAAGTCAAGTACTGTATCTAAATTCAAAACGTTTAGGTGCCATAGCGAAGAGTTCACCCGAAAAATTACCATGAAAGTATATGCACAAAAGACACTGGGAGGCAACTTTAAGGCCGTTGAAAAGTGACTGAAGCCGAGCTACCAGCTCCGAACCAATAATATTGCTGATTCTTCTTTGGATTTTTTTCAAGGAGCTCAAGGTAAATATCAGGGGCACTGGATCATATGTGGCAATAATATTCTAATATATATATATATATTGAATGGTGATCAACGTGTTTTAGTGAACTCAGCAGTTTTCAATCTTCTAGTCGGAATCGTCTTCAAGAAGCGAGAGCAAGCTCTAAAAGGTAAGCCAATCTAACAGTGATCTCATCTCACAATCTTCACTCTTGCTCCATATGCGGCTTCCTTTGTAAATCACTAGCGGGGCTTAAGTGCCATTTAAGATTATCGCACAAAACTTCATAACTGAATCAATTGGTTGTCAGATCCTCATACGTCGAAACCGACAGGAGAGTCTAGTCCATTATATATATATATATATATATATATATATATATATATATATATGTGTGTGTTTGTGTTTATGTGTGTGTGTGTATTTAAATATATATATATATATATATATATATATATAAATGAATTCAACACTCAGAGTAGACAGGCTGTTTCATGTTAGACGCAATCGTCAGGCCGCGAGTGTTGGATTTTCTTGACTATTTATATATATGGCTCAGTGGTGCATTGTGGGTAATCCATTCTGGTGGTTATTTTTGGTGGGAGTGGCTTCTTTATTTATTTATTTATCTGGGTTAATTTATTTTACTTGTTTTTTATTTTCATTTTTATTTTATATCTATTTATTTATTCTTTTCGGTTTTCGATATTTTATTAACGTAGGAAAAAAATTGGGGGATTTGTTTAGGTCGCTTATTTAATATTTTTTTTGTTGATCTGGGAAGATAAAGCTAATTATTCGTCCAATTTTTGGATTAATTGCCGTAGTCTATTCTGTTATTTTGGCGGGGGACAGTTTTTAATTTGTTTATTACTTTATTTATTTATTTGGATTGATTATTTTTACTTGTTTTTACTTATTTATGTTTATTTTTATTAGTTTTAACGGTTATTATAGTGGGTGCGATTTGTTAATTTGTTTATATATTAGGATTCATTTTTTCTTCTTTATTTGCTTTTTTATTTTGTATATTTCTATTTACACTATTCGGTTTTCTATTTCTTTTGTTTATCGTTATATGGCAGTTACAGCTATTTTCTCGTCCAATTTTTGAATTGATTGTTGTCATCTATTCTAACGGTTATTGGTTTGTTAATTTGTTTATTGTTTACTTAATTTATTTGAATTGATTATTTTTACTTGTATTTTATGTATTTATTTTTTAGTTTTATTTGTTGTATTTCGTCTATTCTAACAGGAATGGTTTGCTAATTTGTTTATTATTTGCTTGGGTTAATTTATTTTACTTGATTTTTTTAATATTATTTTGTTTAATTTTGTTTATTCCTTTCAGTTTTCGACTTTTAAATAACGTAGTAAAAATTTGTTTTCATGTCTGCATTTTGAGATGAGCTCAGATTGTTTATTTAGTAAATTTTACTAAATACTCGATCTCATCTCATCTCAAAATGCAAACATTAAAACAAATTTTTAAAACGTTACTTGCAAATTGAAATTTGAAAAGAATAAACCAAAACCAGATCTCTATTCGGCACAAAGCGTTCACAACTATAATCAAACCATATGTGCTGGTGCCTGGCTGTCGGTTCCTAGTTGCTTGATACTCATACGTCGAATACGACGGGAGAGTTCACAAATATTCAGATCAGTGGTTCAACCTATACACTCGACATCTTAGAGAATCTGAAATTGACTCCAGGCGAATACACTGGGATCGAGCATAATGAATTTTTTCTGACATTTCAACCAACCAACACTCAACAAAATTTATTATGAGTGTAGCAGCAACATGATGAAATGAATTTAACAAACATTTATTACCATTTTGCATTTCTGCCAATTTCTGGTTAGCCCCTTATGTTGGGACGCTCATTTTGCAAAAAATTCCATAGCTATAACAGAAAAATTTAAAATTTTAAAATAATTATAAAAGAGGGCATTCACACATGATTTTTAAAAATCACCATCATAATGATCACATTTAAAATAAGTTTGTCTTTGTAATTCACTCTTGAGGAGATCGCAAGTATTTGGGTAGAAAAAAATGATGGCACCTTCCTTGATGAATTTCATCTTAACATCAAGAAAATGATTAGAGAACTAGAAAGGATTATTATAAAAATAGACAGACGTAATTTGTCTAAATTATTTAATGAAACATGTCTGAATGAAGATATGCTGCCTAAATATACTTGCAAATGTATGTCAAGCAAGATTATTTGAACAAAATAGCGAGTACGTCTTTTGATAACATTTTGTTTTTAAAATTCTCTTGTTTTCAAAGAAGATAATGGATCGTTGGTTCTTTTCTCCTTATAAATTGGCCGCACATATATATTCGAGCGCTTTCACCCATAATTGATCCTTTTCAAATCACAACTGTATTACGTTTTCAATATTCAAGGCCAATGTGATCTATTTATTTATTTTCTATAATGACTTTGGCGTTTTGAACCTTATAAATTTAAATCTTCCTTCGATAATGTAGATGACGTCATTAACAGACTGCTTAAAGTAGATGTAAAGCTGCTTGCAGTATTATGTAGATCAAATCACTGTGTATTTATGAATTAATGAATATATTTAACACACCACTTCATAAGCTGAAAGTTTTATTTAATGTTGGCTTTTCGGATTTTATGATTATGGCTTCAACTGTTTGTCGTCTTTGCAATTTGTATTGTATAATATTATTTTATTCTCCACAAGCAAATAATGTTTAATGTTGGCTTTGTGTGATACATTAACATGAGATTTAATGGTGCTGTTGCGTCCATGATAGGGAAAAAACATACTTCAAAGACTTACCGAATTTCAAATCTATAATAAAATGTCCGTTCTTAAAAATTACCAATGATGTATGAAAGTAGTCCAATATATATATATATATATATATATATATATATAAAATTCATACGCAGCCAGAACCTAAACATCTGTTATCTTTTATGTAGACAAGATGGAATTAGCAAAATAATTATAGAAATTGATTTGTAGTTTTCAGTAAAAATGGCTTTAAATGTGTTATGGTCCAGAT